ATGGCAACCTGTCGTCCACCAGGACACCCAGCTCCCTCTCCGCAGAGCTCCCCTCCAGCAGCGCCTCCTCCATCCTGTACCACTGCATGCCATTCTTCCTCCCCAGATGCAAGACTCTACACTTGCTGTTGTTAAACCTCATGCAGTTTCTTCCTGCCCAGCTCTCAGCATGTCCAGCTCTCGCTGAATGGCAGCACGGCCTTCAGACGTGTCTGCACCACCGGTTGGGAGGATTCTTGTCCACCAACTGCTGGCCACCCCTGGCCTTCCTGCCCACGAGGACACACTGCTGGCCCACGGTCAACCTGCTGGCCTTCAGACGATGCAGATTTTTTCCCTGAATGAGGTCCCTGTTCTTTCTTTCAGCTTCCATTTCTGCCACGCCACACCGTGACACAGCGGTGTCCTACCCGCAAGTGCCAACTCTCCTGGTTTCACACAGAAAATTGGGAGCAGGGGGTACCAGACCTCCAAGACAAGGGAGCAGAAAGGGGTTCAGGTGCACACAACCCCACAATGGAGCATTTTGCAGGTAAAGAATTGGAGAATGAAATCAGGACCTGGCAATTCTTTGTGAGACAACATCTCTCCGGCCTTGAAAGAACCCCAAGAAAGTCCAAAACGAGCTCCCAAAAGAAGCTCTGAAAAGAGTCCCAAAAGGAGACTGCAAAGTGCTGCAAAGGAGCCCCCGGGATCCCAGCAAAGCTCCAGGAAGGGGCCACCAAAGGAGACCCCAAAGAGCTGCAATGGAGAACCAAATGAGCCCCCAAAAGAACCCCAAAAGGAGAACCAAAGAACCCCAAAAGGAGTTCCAAAAGGAGCCTCAAGATCCCAACGAAGCACCAAAAGCACAAAAACGAGCCCAAAACCCTAAAGAGCACCGCAGGAGCCACCAAAAGGAGCTCCAAAAAGAGCCCCAAAAGATCCCCAAAAAACTCTAAGGAGAGCCCAAAGGAACCACAAAGAGCCCCCAAGGAGCCTCAAGATCCCAATAAAGCTCCAAGAAGAGCCCCCAAATGAGACCCAAATGGAGATCCCAAAGAACTCCAATGGAGAACCAAAGGAGCCACCAAAAGAGCCCCAAAAGGAGAACCAAAGGAGCCTCAGAGTCCCAAGACCCCAGTTGAGCTCCGAGAAGAGCCCCTAAGATCCCCAGAAGGTGACCCCGAATCCCAGTGCTCACAACCCCTCCCTCGGAGGCTTGGTGATGGGACTGCCATCCACAGGAGGGGCCCTAAGGAGGATCTGGGGAACTACAGGCCTGTCAGCCTGACCTCGGCACCAGGGAAAGTTACGGAGCAAATCGCTTCGGGTGAGATCATTCATTTGGGTGAAAGGTTCATGAAAGGCAGGTTGTGCTCGACCGACCTCATCTCCTACGGCTGGGTGACCGGACTGGTAGATGAGGGAAAGGCTGTTCACAGAATCACAGAATCACAAGGTTGGAAACGACCTGCAAGATCATCCAGTCCAACCCCTCCCATTGCTATCAGTACCACAAGCACTAACCCACATCTCGTAGCTCCTCATCCAGGCGCCTCTTGAACGCTGCCAGGGACGGCGACTCCACCACCTCCCTGGGCAGCCATTGCAGTGCCTGACCACCCTCTGAGAGAAAAAGTTTCTCCTCATGTCCAACCTAAACCTCCTCTGCCATTTCCATTCCAAGTCCACTTCTTGCCATTTCCTCAGGTCCTACTATTAGCCTGGGAGAAGAGGCCAGACCCTTTTACACCACAGCCTCCCTTCAGGAAGTTGTAGAGTGCTATGAGGCCTCCCCTGAGCTCCTCTTCTCCAGGCTGAACAATCCCAGCTCCCTCAGACGCTCCTCATAAGACTTGTGCTCCAGACCCCTCACCAATTTCATTGCCCTTCTCTGCACACGTTCCAGGGCCTCATTGTCTTTCTTGTAGTGAGGGGCCCAAAACTGAACACAGCACTTGAGGTGCAGCCTCACCAGTGCTGAGTACAGGGGCACAATCACCTCCCTGCTCCTGCTGGCCACACCATTTCTAATGCAGGCCAGGATGCCGCTGGCCCTCTTGGCCACCTGGGCACACTGCTGGCTCGTGTTCAGCCGAGCATCAACCAACACCCCCAGGTCCCTTTCCTCTTCACAGTCATCCAACCACTCATCCCCAAACCTTTGTGCTGCATGGGGTTGTTGTGCCCAAATGCAGGACCCGGCACTTGGCCTTGTTGAACCTCATCCCATTCACCTTGGCCCAGCGATCCAGCTGATCCAGATCCCTCTGCAGGGCCTCCCTGCCCTCAGGTAGATCCACACCACCTCCCAACTTGGTGCCATCTGCAAACTTACTCAGGGTGCACTCAGTGCCTTCATCTAAGTCGTCAATGAAGATATTAAACAGGATGGGCCCCGCTGATGAGGCCGTTTAGACTTCAGCAAAGCTTTGACACTGTTTCCCACAGCATCCTCCTGGGGAAACTGGCTGCCCGAGGCCCGGTCGGGTGCACCCTGCTTTGGGTAAGGAGCTGGCTGAGGGCCGAGCCCGGCGGGTCGTGGTGAATGCAGTGAATCGAGCTGCAGAGCCGCTACAAGCGGTGTCCCCAGGGCTCGCCCTGGGGCCGACCTTGTTTGATATCTTTGTTGATGACCCAGAGGAGGGACTGCGTGCACCCTCAGTACGTTTGCAGCTGACACCGAGCGGGGAGGTGGCGTGGATCTGCCTGAGGGCAGGGAGGCCGTGCAGAGGGACCTGGATAAGCCGCATCGCTGGGCTGAGGTGAACGGGAAGAGGTTGAAGGAGGCCAAGCGCCGGGTCCTGCGCTTTGGGCACAGCAACCCCAGGCAGCGCTGCAGGCTTGGGGCTGAGCGGCTGCGAAGAAGAAAGGGACCCGGGGTGGAGGTTGATGCCCGGCTGGCCAAGAGGGCCGAAAGCACCCTGACCCGCGTCAGCAACAGCGAGGCCGGCAGAAGCCAATCATCCCCCGCGCTCCGCTCTGTGAGGCCGCCCGCCAACCGGACGGTGACGGAACCCCGCGCGTCCGGCCCCAAAACCCCGTTTTCGGGACGTCCCGCCGCCCCCCGGCCCCCGAGAAGCCCCTGGCCGCCCCCGCCGCCATCTTTGCGCCGCGCCCTCACCTGAGTAACTCATAATGGCGGCGCCGCCCGCCGCCCGCCGCCGCCTCTGCGCCCAACGGTACCGGCGGCGCCGCCCCGCCTCCCCGCCGCGCTCATTGGTCCGGCCTCCGGGCGGCCGGAGGAGGTCATTGGTCGCGTCTCCACCTCCCGCGGGGCGGTCTCGCCGAGGATTGGAGAATGCGGGTGCCAATCGTCGGCTTTCCCGATGGGCCCTGAGGGAACGTTCGTTGATTGGTCAGCTGGCAGAGGCGGTGCCGCCGCCGTTCTCTACTCTGATTGGCCAATCGGGGGTGGTGGGAGGGCTGAGCGCTGCCTCCACCAATCGCGTGGCAGAAGAGCCCGGAGCCACCGGCAACGCCCCCACCGCGCAGGTGCGACTCTTGGCCACGCCCCTTCCTTAGCACCGCGCGTCGCCATTGGCTGAGGACCGCGGGGCTCCGCTCCCGGCGGGGAATGAGCGCGCCGAAACCGCGCCAGTTCTGTGCCGGAACCCCGGGGCCGCGTCCGACCCCACGTCCCCACGGCACGGCCTCCCCCCGACCTCCATCTCCCCACGGAAAAGCCTCACCGTGCCCCCAGTGCCGCTATGTCGTTGCACACGGCCATGTCGTGATGTCCCCATCGCGACATCTCTCCTCCCGTGCCGTGTGACACTGCCTCCTCTCTACCCGTGTCCCTCCGCCACAGGACGCGGCCACCCCGATGTCCCCATCCCGACCCTGGTGTCCCCATGCCCGGGGTCACGGCCACGCTTTGACCTCAATGTCCCCGCCGACACGGCCTCACCCTGACCCCAGCATCCCAAGCTCTGGGTCGTGCCCTCACCCTGACCCCGTGTGCCCCCCATCCCGACCCCACACCACGCCATCAGCCGTGGCCCCACGTCCCCTTTATGATGCTCCCAAGCCCTGACTCACAGCCATGTCCTCACCCCGCTGTTCCCAGCCCTGTGGGCTCCAACCACCCCTCTGGCCCCAAAACCAACCTCATTCCCCCCCCCAAAATCCCCCGTGAGGACCCCCATGCACTCACACAGCCCCCTGGGGGTTGTTTCCAGAAGTTTAATCTAATGTACATATTCCCGGGTACATTAATAACCAGAATATGCCCAATGAAAAAAGTTAAAAGGTAAATTCCCTCCGAGCCGTGCTGGGCTCGGGACTTCGAAATAAAAATGAATGCTCCTTAAATTTTCTACACAAAACTAGAGTTAAAAAAGTCGAAGGTCTATGCAACTAGACAAGGGGGGGGAGAAAAAAAACAAAACAACAAAAAAAACAAACAAAAATATAGCAACAGTGAGGAGGAGCGGGGGGAGGAGGGGGACGTGCGGCTCCGCAGATCCCCCCCCCCCCCCCCCCCGGGACCCCCCCAGCATCACCGCAGCCCACGGTCCCATTGGAAATCGGGGGTCGGGGGGGTGGTGACGGGGAGCCAAGTGTTTTCCTTTGGGAAGGGGGAGCGGGGCAACATGCAACCCCGGAGCAACGGGCTCCGACAGCGCCGGGAACGACGGGCGGCGCTGCCTGCAGGGATCGAATATACAGCAACTCTCGGGCCACAGACAAACACACGGCGCTCGCTCCCCGCGTCCCTGAACCGGTGGAAGCCAACGCAGCTCCCGCCTCTTTGGGCTGAACCGGACCCGCCGTGTCGGGGGGGAGGGGGGGGGGCACCCGCGGTGCCACCGTTTTCCCCTGCCCCGTCCCCGAGGGCCCCCCCCCCCCCCCCCCCCCGGGGGGGGAGGGGGAGGGGGGGGGGGGTTTTGATCCTTGTAGTGCTTGCGGCCGGGTGCCCCCCATCCAGCCCGGCGCTGGGGTAGTGGGGGGGGGTGGGCTGAGGTTGCTCCGTGGGGGAGGCGCAGGCACGGGGTGGGGGGCGGAGGGTGCCCCGGTTCGGCTCCGTCGCCCTGGGGTGGGGGGCTCCGTTACTGAGCCTCGGCCACGGCGGGGGGCTCGGGGGCCGGGGCGTCCCCCCGCAGGGGGTCTGCTTTGGAGAAATTCATTTCCAGGATGTGTCGCTGGAGGTGTCGCACCCACTCCTCCTGGATGGAGAGGGGGCCCTGGAACTCCACCTCACAGAACCTGCGGGGACACGGCGGCAGCGGGTCAGTCCAAGGCTCCTTTAGCGGCCCAGAGGCTGTGGGGAGGGGGGAGAGGGGGGGGAAAGCAGGGAGGAAGGGGTCCCACAGCCCCAGGTGCAGTGCTGAAGGGTGCAGTGCCCAAGAACAAAGAGCTCAGAGGTTTGGGAGCCGAGGGAAACACAAAGGGAAGCCAAATGGGAGCCCAATGAGGAACCCAACAGGAATCCAAGGGGAAGCCAAAGGAAGCGCGAAAAGACAACCCAAAGGGAACCTAAAGCAGAGCCCACCTGGAAGCGAAAGGGAAAACCCCAAAGGGAACATCAAGAAAAGCCAAAAGAAGCCTCAAAGGAAACCCAACAGGGAACCCAAAGGGAGCCCTCAAAGGAAACCCAGAAAGAGACCAAAGGGGAGCCCAACAGAAACCAAAAGGGAGCCCTGAAGAAAGCCTACAGAAAACCCCAAAAAGAGACCAAAAGGGGAGCCCAAAGGAAACCCAAAAGAGACCCAGAGGGAGCGCTCCAATGGGAGCCCAAAGGAAACTCAAAGGAAGCCAAAGGGGAGCCTCAAAGAAAGCCAAAAAGAGCCCGAAGGAAACGAAAAGGCTGCCTCAAAAGGGAAGCCCACAAAAGGAAGCCGAAGCAAACCCAGAGGGCACCCAAAGGGGAACCTGAAAGAAAGCCACAAGGAGCACAAAGGGAGCCCAAAAGTTAAGCCTAAGGTGGGCTGGGGCCCAAAAGGGGATGGCCTACCTGCACTTGAGGGTGTAGATGTTACCCACAAACTTCACCAGGGAGGTCTGCGGCGGGCGGGGGACCAGCGAGGGCACCGGCCTCATCCTGGGTGGGGGCTGGCGGGTCTCCTCCATCTTCTGCTGGAAGTCGGCCCCCTCCTCCTCCCGGTGCAGGGAGGGGTCCAGGGGCCTTGCCTGCCTCCGCTCAAACTCTAGGGAGGGAATAACGGAAGGGAAACGGGGCATCAGGGCGGAAGGGGGAACCCTGCCGTGGTGCTGAGGGCTGCGAGAGATGGCACAGCCTCTCTGCTTTGGAGCAACAGCGCTGCCGATGACAGGAGGGGCTCCTCCTCCTCACAGATCCGTGTCCCAGCAGCTCCAACCTCCCGAGGGAATGGGATCCCAGCGGCCTCAACCCCCACGGGAACCACATCCCAACGGCCGCCGCCCCCAGGAGATCCGCATCCCGAGGGAACCGGGTCCCAACCCGTCCCCCTCCCGACAGCTGCACCCCCCCCCGTCCCAACTCACTGTGGAAATTCGAGCGCTGATGCTCTTCCATCTTCACCAGCGAGAGCGGCGAGGTGACCACGGGCCGCTCCCCGGTGCCGTCCAGGATCTTGCAGGGCTCTCCGTGCGCCAGCTCCGCCGCCAGCCCTTTGCTCAGCAGCGCCATGCCGCCGTGCTGCAGGCTCAGCGGCACCCTCCGCGCTCCGTCGTGATCTCGGGCGTGCGACGAATTCCGAAATTTCTTAGTGAAGGGTCGGCCGCCCTGGATGTAGCTGCGATACGCGCCGGCTTTCTGCGGCCGGTGCCGGATCCATTCGCTGAGCGTCTCGATGGGCGAGCCGTTGACGCACCACTCGGTGACGCCGAACTGCCGCAGGTGCGCCCGCGCGTGGCTGGCCAGAGCCTTGCGGTTCTCGAAGTAGAGGCCGCAGAGCTCGCAGCACGCTTCGGTGGCTGGGGGAGCGGGGGGCAGGCGGTGAGCGAGGGGCTGAGACGTGCCCCGTCCCCCCCACCGCCACCCCTGCGTGGGAATCCGCCCCCTCCTGGCGTGTGGCGGGCGGCGGTGAGCTCTGAGGTGGTCCTGGCAGGAGGTCAAGGCTCCAAGATGGGGGATCCATCTCTAAGTGGGATGGGGGGTGGTGGACGGTCCCCAAATCTCTGCTCCTTATCAGAGATATCACAGCAAAAAGCCGGAGCCCGATATCCAAGTGTGGTGCCCCATGGACGGTGGGACTGCGGCCAATGCAACACCATGGCTGATACATGGCCATGGCCAACACAACACCATGGCTGATACATGGCCATGGCCAACGCAACACCATGGCTGATACATGGCCATGGCCAACACAACACCATGGCTGATACATGGCCATGGCCAACACAACACCATGGCTGATACATGGCCATGGCCAACACAACACCATGGCTGATCTGTGGCCATGGCCAACACAACACCATGGCTGATACATGGCCATGGCCAACACAACACCATGGCTGATACATGGCCATGGCCAACGCAACACCATGGCTGACACGTGGCCATAGCCAACGCAACAACTTGGCCAACGCAACAGCATGGCCAACACAGCAACTTAGCCAACACAACAGCATGGCTGACACGTGGCCATGGCCAACACCATGGCCGACACAACACCATGGCCAACATGTGGCCATGGCCAACAGCATGGCCGACACGTGGCTATGGCAACGCAACACCACGGCCAACATGTGCCCACGGTCAACACAACAACTTGGCCAATGCACGACCGCAGCTGACGGTGGCCACGGCCAACGCACGCCAACCCTCCAGCCCCTCCCCGCAGCCTCCAGGAACCTGGACAAGCCGCACCACGTGCCTCCCCACACTTACATGTGTGCGTGGGCTTGTCGTGCACGGACTTGGTTTTGAAGGGCAGCTCGGTCTGGATGTAGGCCTTGTGCTTCACCTCGGGGTGGGGACCCAGGCGGTCGTCCTGCAGCGGCCGTTTGGTGGCCAGCGGTGTCAGGAAGGCGCCGTGGGGCTTGGCGGTGAGCGGCGACAGCGAGAGCTCGCGGCCGATGCTGGAGCCGCCGGGTTTCCCCGTCCTCCCGCCCAGTGGAGGCAGGGCCATGGCCTGCAGCACTTTTCCAGAGGGCTTGGGGTCCATCCCCTCCTCCCCAAAGCCTTTGGGGGTTTCGATGATGGAGGTGTGGGGCTCCTTCTTGATGACGCAGGGCTTCGATTTCTTCTTGAGGATCTCGCGCAGCGTGTCGATGGGGGAGCCGTTCACCGACCACTCCGTCACCCCCATCTGGCGCAGGTGGGAGCGCGCGTGGCTCGACAGACCCTTGCGGTTCTCAAAGAACTCCCCGCAGAACTCACAGCGGATGTCCCGCACCGGGTCGGCTCGGGAGGCTGCAGGGAGAGAGCTGGCGTCAGGGGGAGTGGGTCTGAGCCCACCTGCCCCCATATCCCACAGCACAACCCACAGAAGACGATCCACAAGCAGATCCCACAGCGCCGTGCTTCCAGCTGACCCCAAAGTACCCAAAGAGAACAGCACCCATCAGAGAGCTCTTGGGTTGGAGGGGTCTTTAAAGATCATAGAGCCATAGAATGGGTTGGGTTGGAAGGGTCCTTGAAGATCATAGAGCCATAGAATGGGTTGGGTTGGAAGGGTCCTTGAAGATCATAGAGCCACAGAATGGGTTGGGTTAGAAGGGTCCTTGAAGATCATACAGTGATAGAATGGGTTGGGTTGGAAGGGTCCTTAAAGATCATACAGTGATAGAATGGGTTGGGTTGGAAGGGTCCTTAAAGATCACAGAGCCATAGAATGGGCTGGGTTGGAAGGGTCCTTGAAGATCATAGAAATACAGAACCCTGGAATGGGTTGAATTGGAATGGTCCTCAAACATCAGAGAACCATAGAAAGGGCTGGGTTGGAAGGGAGCTTACAGATGTTAGAGCCATGCAATGATAGAAGGGATTGGCCTGGAAAGGACCTTGAAGATCACTGAATGATAAGAAGGGGGTGGGTTGGAAGGATCTTTGAAAACCGCCATGGAATGGGCTGGAAGGGACCTTGGATCCCACATCCCCCTCCCCAGCACGGCGTGTGCCCGACCCCCACCAGCCCACGGGAGGGGGAAGGTGACAGCCACACACTTACAGAGGTTCAAGGGTGACATCTCCTCCAGCGGCGGCCAAGCCTGGTCGGAGGGATGGGGCTCCCCGTGGAGACCCCCGGTCATCATCTCACGCTTGATTTCCACTCTCATCTGGTCGTGTTTGAGCTTCTTCTGCAAGGAGGGAGGAGAGAGGCCTGGAAACATCTTCCGGGCAGTGGGAGGCGGGGACGAGGTAGGAGAGTGGCCCAGGGGACTGCCGGGCTGCTGGACCTTCTTGGGCAGAGTCGGGATGTGGAGCTCGCCGGGACCCCGCGGCTCCAGGGGTCCCATGGCCGCCAGGAGGGTCTTGGCCATGGCTTTGTGCCCGGGGCCCATGGGGTTGGAAGCTCCGCTCCGCGGGTGAGTTCGGCGCTTGAGGATCTCGCGCAGCGTGTCGATGGGGGAGCCGTTGACGTACCACTCCGTCACCCCCATCTGGCGCAGGTGGGAGCGCGCGTGGCTCGACAGACCCTTGCGGTTCTCAAAGAACTCCCCGCAGAACTCACAGCGGATGTCCCGCACCGGCTCCCCCCCGGCGGCTGCAGAGGAGGTAAAAAAAAAAACAGAGAGAACTGTGGTTACTGGGGATGCAAAGGTGGAGTTTGGTGATGCCAAGGAGCCGAAGGCGTGCGAAGCCAACAAAGTGCATCCTCAGTGGGAGGCAAAGAGTGGGGCTGAGCCCAAAACAGGAACCGCACAGAGCCCGTCCTCAGTGGGACTGGAAAATGAACTCAAAGATGTGAACCCAACAAAGCCAGTCCTCAGCGGGACTCCAAAATGAGCAGGGCTGAACTCAGATACCAACCCAACAACAAAACCAATCCTCAGTGGAACTCTGAAGGGAACAGG